ATACATGGCAGCGGCTGAAGCTGCAAAAGAAGCTTTATGGCTTACTGGTTTAGTGAAGGAGTTGGGTGTTCAATAAGGTGGAGTTCAGTTGCTTTGTGATAATCAAAGTACTATTCACTTGGCTAAGAATCAGGTGTATTGTGCTAGAACTAAACATATTGATGTAAGGTTCCACAATATCAGAGAGTTGGTTGCATCTGGAGAGGTTTTGTTTCAGAAGGTACATACTGATGAGAATGCCACTGATATGTTCACCAAGCCAGTTACGATAGACAAGTTCAAGCATTGCTTGGACTTGTTGAATGTTTTCGAGTTGTTAAAAAAGTAAGGTAACCTAACCCACATTGAAGTTTCCAAGGGGCGGGATATTCGCTAAGGTGGAGATTTGATAGGTATGGCTCATAAATATACCAGTAAAGAGGACAGAGGATGAAGTGGAGTGAGTGAACATTAATTATCCTTACAAAGAAAGTCTTGCAGAGGGGGTTACGATTATGTGGGTTAGGGGTGCGGGGGCGTAGCCCCGCGGTATGGTACAAGGTCAATTATGTAATTATGTATCAGGTTTTTTATTATAAATAGAGATGTAACCTAAACCTCTGAGACATTGAAAAAAAATTTCTAGCTCCGCCTAGGCACCGAGGACGTAAGCACATTGCCGAACCTTGTTAAAATTATTGTGTTCTTTCATTTACTTTGCCCGATTCTTCAACATTTTTCATATTAAATTGAGCCAAGATGTCAGAGATGTATTGCGCTTGAGATAGAAATCTTAGTTGGAGTGGAAATAGCCTCAATGCCAAGAAAGTGATTGAGCAAACCCATATCATTCAAGGCAACTTTGTAGATAATAAACTAATGAAATGAGCAATGAAGTCATCATTATTACCAATAAACACAATATCATCCATGCATACTAGAAGGTATAAAATAAATCCCTTTGTACTATAGATGAACAATGATGCATCAACCTTTGGTTTCTGAAAGCCAAACTAAAGAAGAAACGAGAAAGTTCGATATAACATGCCCTTGGTGCATGCTTCAGTTTATACAAGGCCTTTTGTAATAAAAAAATGTGAGAAGGTTTTGTAGGGTCAAGATATCCCGAAGGTTGCTCCATATAGACTTTCTCATGCAAAGTGTCATTTAAAAATGCATTATTGATATCAAGTTGCTTGTAGACCACACATCATGAAGTGTAAGAGTGAAGATAATATGTATCGTAACAGGTTTCAACACAATACTAAAAGTTTCAAAATAATCTTAACCATTTTCTATAGAATACTCTTTTACTACTAATTTGGATTTGTATTGATCAACAAATCCATTTGGATGTCGTTTCACGTGGAACACCTATTTGCACCCTACTATAAATTGCTTGGATCGTGAACCAATATTCTATGTTTGATTGCACATCAAGGCAGTAAACCCATCTTTCATTGCTTACCTCTATAATATATCTTTAAGAGAATCAATAACAATTTCGACTCCAATGTTGAAGGCAAAGGATGACGCATAGTGGTATTAACAAATGAAGGACCAAAATACCTCAGATTTGGCCAACATGTGCGTGCTTGTCGAGTATTATACTATGGCAAGATATTTGTTGTAGCAACAAGTACATTATTATGCTCTGGTATATAACGTCCCAGATTACGGGTTAGGAGTTTTGGGCCATCGAGTTGGACCTTAAATTAACTTCTTAGTTTATGAGAGGTTTTGACCCATATTTAGATGGATTTGGGTTTGAGCCAAGCCCAATAGAGGGTAAAAAGGGTACTTTTAACCCGCAGTCAGAATCAGAAGGACCTAGGTAGTAATTTCACTATTAAAGATTTCAAAAGATGAATATATATTGATTATGAGTGATATCACGTTGTCTCCTCCCTATTTTCTCAACTCTTCTTATTCTCTTCTCTCCCTTCATCTTATCCTTCATTTAGCCAAGCTTAAAGGTATAACCTTTATAAATTTCAGTTATTACCGAGAGAAGTTAAGGTAAGAACCAAATTCCTCTCACCTTCAGCTCTAAACTTCCATTTGTAATTTTTGGTGAAAGAAAAACTGAAATGGGTTTGGTGGGGGTTTTAGACACCCAAATGATTTCAGTTCGTTTTGGGGAGATTTAGGCTTCTTTTTTAGTTTTAGAAAACCAAAACGGGTAAAAAATTTTGGGTTACTATTTCGATAGTCTCGTGTAACATTGTAATCCATGTATCTTCAGTTCGAACTGGATTTAGGTGTTATAGAGGGTGTTGATGCATCAGGTGGATCAACATGTTATTGTGGTGTGTTAATAATGCCAAAGAAAAAACTCTATGGCACAACGATTACACCCATATAGTAAATGAGAAGATATGGGGAAAAAATCGAACATGATGAGAGACATAAATTCTGTTTGTGTTTGGATCCAAGCATTTATAAGCAAACTAAATCATATAGTATCCAAGGAAAATATATTCAATGGACCATAGTTCAAGTTTATGATTCATGTATGGTCGTAGCCAAGGAAAACATAAGCATCCGAATGGTTGAAGCTTATCATAGTTCGGTGATTCTCAATAAAATATGGAATATAATGACATATTATCCAATATCAGTGTTGGCATCCAATTGATGAGATAAATAGTCACTTGAAAAACATCAGGCTAATACTCTATTAGAAGAGATGCAAAGTGAAGTAGAGAAAGACCCGTCTCCACTATGTGACAATATCTTTGTTCAGTAGTCCCATTGTGTTCAGGAGTATAAGGCGGTACAGTGTGAAATTCCTTCTAAATTTAGAATGGAAAAGAGCATAACAAACTCACCTCCATTATCAGAGAATTTTGCAACATGTCTTCTAAACTGAGGAAAAATTGATGCAACATAAAAAAAAATTCGTCGGGTATAGCCAACTATACTTGGTGAAGTGATCAACAAATATCACATAATATGCATTTTCATCATATGAAATATGTTTAGTGCTCCAAACATCCGAATAAAGTATTCAAGAAGGCAAGAGCTTGTCATAACATTTTGACCATATGACAATTTATGGCTCTTATTAATAAGACATGAAGAACAATGAAATTCTTTCAAGAAAGTTGAGTTATAAGGTATATTACATTAGTGGCTAAGACTTTATCAGACAAGTGATCAAACTTGTGATGTAGTTGGATAGACAAACAACTGATTGAATTAACTTGAGGAAGAAAATATCATGAAATATAATAGACACCACCAATGTTATTACCCTGGATTCAACTGATGCTTGATTAGCCTAAAATAATTGAGAAATCGGTACTATGTTTGTATGTAACTGAGTAACACATAAGACATCTATGAGAGAAAGAGGTTTAGTAGCGACGGGAATCGTGCATCGACCACTATGATATATAGGTAGATAATTACCATTAACTAGTTGAATTGTATCAAAAACATCATAAGTGGAGAAATCTTGAAGAGTTGCAGTAGTCATAGTGGTATAATGTGAAACACCACTACCAAACATGCAAGTAGAAAGGCCTAATGATGAATGAGTAGCAACAACATTAACAATTGGTGAGTTAGCTTTTGATTGATAATAAAAGTTGTTAAGAAATTGAACAAGCTTACGACAATCCCGAATAATATGTCATGGCAAATTACAGAACTTACATATAATATTTTGTCATCTACAATGACTTGATTGATTAACATGACTATGGCCGCCATTAGAAGTCAAATGACCAGAGCGACCATCCTTCCCTCGAGATCAGTTGATCGAATAACCATGATTTTAATTGGCTCACTGTGCAGAATTTGCTAGAATGTGAAATTTTCATATTCCTAAAGAAGACACTCATGATCAGTTAAGATCTCATACATCTTAAGCATTGTTGTCAGTGTGTTACGCACTAGAAGGGCAACAACTATTAGATGATAGCTATCACTAATTTCTTGACAATAGAGATCAATAAATCTATATAAGAAAAAGATAGTTTACCAAGGAAAGTTCAGAGGCAATATCCTACATGCCTTTTATGTAGTCAGAGATAGATTTAGAACCCCACATATTGTGAGCCAGTTTGGATTTGAGAGCAAGAATGTGATTAGGAGATGCTCGAGCATAACTTACAACTAAATTATCCCACTTCATTTTAGCGGTGACAACGAATGAAATGAGGGGTTGAACTAGATCATCACAACTACAAAGAAGAACACTGATAAGAATTTGATCCTAACGATACCATTGTAGATGTTTAGGATTAGCAGTTTTTGTTGCGACATCGATAAACTGAGATGGGAAAGGCTGCGATCCATTATTATAACTTACTAGTCCAAAACTAATAAGTGTGACCTCCACTTGTCAACGTTGAACAAGAAAGTTGGCGAACATAAGTTTGATTGAGAAGTTGATTGGTGCACTGAGATGCACAATGTTGTTGGTGTTGGAAGACGAAACCATGAGAGGATATCCGATTCGAAGAAGAGCAAAAGTGAGAGAAAATCGAGTAGAGAAATTCTACTAGGCTCTAATTACCATGTAAATGGTTTATGTATTTAGTAATTTTAACATTTACAAGTGATGAGTATATATAAGTGTTGAAGAATCGGGTAAAAAAAATGAAAGAACACAAGAATTTTAACGAGGTTCAGCAATGTGCTTACGTCATCGGTGCTTAAGCGGTGCTAGAAGTTTTATTCAAGTCTCATAGGTTTAGGTTACATCACTATTTATAATAAATAAACCCTGGTGCATATTTACAAAAATAACCCTATATCGTACCTAAAAATAAGTTTACAAAAACATCTAATCCTAAGGAAAGTCAAACGTGTACACAAGATAAGGTTTATACAAGTTTCTTGGAAAAATCTTGATTGTTTAGTTGAATATGAAATGTATCAATGAACGAAACTCAATTTTTCAACCATCATGACCAGATGATTTAAATCATGTCTATCGAGCGACTTCATTAACCCTAGATGAGAGAGCGTGGCAAAAAATATTGAATTGTTGGCGACGTCCAATTGTGAATATGGTAATAAAAAGCTCCGATTTCTGGAAGATGGAGCTTCCTATCAATGCTAGTTGGAATCTTAAGAAGCTCCTGAATATGAGATCTTCGGTTTATCACCTGGTTGCTGGCCGAGACAGATTGCTTAGCACTAAACAGATTTGGGAGGACATGTTGTCCATGGCCCCGAAAGTTGCGTGGCATCACTTGGTTTGGTTTTCTGGGCTTATTCCCAATCATTTCATTATCTTGTGGATGGCCATTTTAGATAGACTCCCTACCCGAGCGAGGCTTTTACGGATGGGAATAACCATTGAGAATGTTAATTGCTTGTTTTGCAACATGATCCCTGAAACTCAGAGCCACATTTTCTTCGAGTGTGACTATGCAAAAAGTTTATGGGCATCCATTCTCCAGCTCTGCGACATCAATCGCAATATATGCCATTGGGACGGTGAGCTTGCGTGGGCTGTGCATTGCTTTAGGGGGAAGTCTCTCCTCACGAGAGTGTTAAAACTTGCCTTTACGAGTTACGTGTATGGCATTTGGAGAGAGAGGAACAACAAACTGTTTGGGGGTAAGACAAGAACAATGATCGAAAACCTGGAAGACATTAAAGACACTATTCGAATTCGGATGTCGGGCTGGCGCATCAACATGATGGACTTGAGAAATGCTGCCATTTGTGCACGATGGGGCATTGCGTGATGCTGTGTGAAGTTCTCGCTACCTGCTGTTGCTAGCCTATTTTCTTTCTTTGTTGTAGGCGTGTTGTTTTGTTGTTGGTTGTTTGACCTTGGTTCTCTTGTAGCATAATTCTGCTTTCTTGGGTAATGAAATTGATTATCCAAAAAAAAGTTGTGAATATGGTCATTAATTTAAAATGAACCTGTTTAAGTCTAGTTAAACTTATAAGATTTACATTATGTATATGGTCATTAATTTAGGTGCATTTAGATACTTGTGTTATATAACATGATAGTTTTGGTTCATCAATTATGAAAAGAAAAACCTATAAACTTTTAAATATCTAGTAACATTATGGTATGATGGGATCGAAACTCTTACCATTCATTAAAATGAACCGGTTTATGTCTTCATTATGAATAAATTATTTTACAAGAAATGAATGAATATTGTTTAAACAGATTAAAAATAGTGAATGAAAAGATTATTTTTTATTAAAAAAAAGTCAATAACAGTTAAACAACTTACGATGACTTTAAATTTAATGGTCTATAAGCATTGTTCTAATTATATCTTGTGTATTTAGAACCAAAAATAACTAAAAATAGAACCAAACTTCCACTATATATATAAGTTCATTCCATAATTATAAATCAATTGATAGAAATATTTCATCTTTTAAGCAGTGTCTTGAGATATTTATATCAATTGTTAATGGATTTCTGGGCATCATTTGTTGTCATTTATTCTTTCACTTTTGGTGGGGTTATTGGATACCATTTGGACGATCAAATAGAAAACTTGCCTGGGCAACCAAATGTTAATTTCAGACAATTTTCTGGGTATATTGATGTTGATCCAAAGGCTGGCAGAAGCCTTTTCTATTATTTTGTTGAAGCCGAAAACGATCCAAAGAATCAACCCCTCACAATTTGGCTAACAGGAGGTTAGTTACTTTTCGATTTAATCATTTTATTAAAAATGATTATATGAATCAATTGGATTAAATCTCGAGTTATTTTTTTTTCTGAAAAAGTGTTTAAAATTGATGATAATTTCAGGACCAGGATGCAGTTCAGTTGGAGACAGCTTTGTCGGTGTTGGTCCTTTCATTACAACAAATGATGCTCACGGTCTCGAGAGAAATCCATATGCTTGGACCAATGGTTGATTTTCCTTTTTTCTTCCCTCTTAAAATTTGCTCATATATATGGTTCCATATCAATTGATTTAATTCGAACTTTTTTATATATAAATTTTAGTGTCCAATATTCTATTCATCGACTCACCTGTTGGAGCTGGATGGTCATATTCAAACACAAGCGATGATTATATAGTTGGAGATCATAGTACAAGTATGGTCATGTCGATACTCGATACTTCTTTTCTTCTTATTTTCTCCATTGAAAAAAAAAAGACCGACAGTTCTTAAATTTTTTATTCCATTGCTTCTTACAGATAATGATCTGGTTACATTCATACTGAAATGGTTTGAAAAGTACCCGATTTTCAAGTCTAGAGATTTATATGTTTGTGGAGCAAGTTATGCAGGTTCGTTCAATATTGTAGAGACAGGGTAGATGGTGTTAATAGGCAGCTGTGCATTGATTGATGCTTGTAGGTGGCTTTCTGTTTGAGCTTGTTGTTTCGTAGCAGCTTGGCTACTCTCTTGGATAAATATAAGCTTACTTATCTTTAAAAAAAAATAGATTTAATCAATTAATTGATCAATGTAGGTCTTAATTAACCTAACCAAAAGGATTTAAAATCGGCTGGTTAAGTCGATTGGTCTTAAATGACCCCTACTAAAAATTAAATTTTATGTTTTCATATCTTTGTCAATTTAGATGAAATCAAATAACATATATTTATGAAATTTGTTGTTTTCTCAGGACACTTTGTACCCAATTTCGTCAACTCCTTACTTCAATACAACAACAAATCAGATAGTTTCAAGTTTAACATCAAAGGATTAGCGGTAAGTAAAACTCGATTTAATTCTATTATGAAATTAATTATTTTTTTATGTTATCAAAATTTGACTCATGATCTCATAAATTGAGATTTTATCATTTTATTTGTGTCAAAATATTTTATAGAGTTATTTTTAATATTGAAATACAGTTGGGCAACCCCGTTCTTCGGTATAAGTTAGATCTTCTGGCGGAACATGAATTATATGCATCGGAAGGGATGATCTCGAGAGTGTTGCATCAAGAAATTTTGAAACGTTGCAATGGGGTCAACGAAGACAACTATTCAAACAATGTCGGCCCGTGGTCTGAATCATGTCAAGAAGCCATGGGTATATCCCAAATGATCGCTTTCAACGTAACTTCTGTCGATCAATCTAGGCAAAGACAGTTTGATATTAGTCGTACCCCATGTGATGGGACTATGGAAGATCTAAACTCAGGAAAAGAGGTATTATTTACTTTCTTTTTGTTTTTGTTTTGTTGTCTTCTCGATTTTAAGGCTTCATTCTGATTAATCAGCAAAAGAGATTTTCTGCATACACAAGTATTTGAACTCGAAACATTGCTTAAGCGATATCAAACTGTCTACTATTTGAACCAACCTTGTTGGTTTATTTACTTTCTTTTGTGTGTATTGGGCCAATAATTGAGATTGTTGAGGTTAAAATTTAAATCTTGATCCTTAAAGAACGTCATCTTTTAAGAATATGTAATGCTCAATAAAATTATATACAATTGTACTCATTTTATTTGGTATTTCATGTCACAGATTACTAAAGTTATCGATGGATGTGATCTATGCCTTACTGTTCGACCAAATTTTTATTTCAATATTCCTGAAGTTCAGAAAGCCTTCCATGCAAATCGAACCAATCTAAAATACGAATGGTCCGGTTGTATACCGTGAGTTATATCTTTCTATCTATTTATACGTGCATAATTTTTTAAAGGACAATAGTGATTCTATTTTACAATTTATGGGAATTTAACAGGATGAGTGGCCTCAAATACAACCCAACTGACATATATAATGACATGCTTCCGACATTGAAGCAAATTCTCCAACAATCTGTTCCCATTATCATATTCAGGTTGAGTTATGCTTCTGACATAAACTTTGTTTCTAAACTCGATATGTATTAATCAACGTCTTCTTTCTTTTCGTTTTTCTAAAGTGGTGACGTAGATGGAGCAATTCCTCTGATTGGAAACTCGGAACATGTTAAAAAGTTAGCCAAGGACATGAACATGAACTTAACCAAAAACGAAACTTGGAATCATGATAACAAGGTTATTGCTTTACCCTTTTTATTTATTCTTTTATTTATTGTAATAATGGAATTTAAATTAGAATCTGATAATAATTATTTATTAAATTAGCAGGAAGGAGGGTTGTTGTACTTGTATGGAGATCTATTGACTTTCATGACAGTAAAAGGAGCTAATCATCATGTGCCGTTATCTAGACCATCTCAAGCTTTGTATATCTTCTCCAATTATGTAATTAATTAATCATATTAAAACCACATGATATTATGCTGTAATAAACTATATTTCGTAATTCATATATACTTACTATTTGCATGTATTCTATTATGTTTTATATTTGTGTTTAAAATAATTTATGTGACTATATATTGTCACGTACTTAATCATATTATTTGTTTTCATAAATTAATGTTGTTCTCAAGATCTTTTCAAAATAATTGAAAAGAAATTGAACTCTTCTTTTTTTTAAAAATTCAACCTCATTAATCGAATATTTCTATAAATTCTTAATGGATTTCTGCGTATTATTTGTTGTCATTTATTCTTTTATATTTAGTGGGTTTTCAAATAAAGAGCTCCGTTGTAAATGTTTATATTCTCGTACCTTGTCTTATTGATTTTAAAGTTTCAAGTAAGTTGTACTTTTTTTAAAGTTTGGTGATTGTGAGATCATTTCGATGGTCTAATGTGACATCTTCAATTTAGGTTTGTCTTCCGGATTGGGTTGAGGGTGTTACAGTTCCATATTAAATCCAATGATAGCTTTAAGAATCATGAGAATGACTAAAACAAAATCAATTAATTTTGTACCTTTATTTTCCCGAAGACTATCACGTGCGATGCAAAGCTCAGAAAAATAAACCGTGACAAGCACAAAACATGAGACTTATCTCTTTATACTTATATCATTTGTTCATGACAATTACAAATCACAAACTTATGAATAACAACAAAAAACTCAATAGCGAGTTAAGGCATCAATTTAATTAATATCAAGAATTCATAAAAATAAGAACAAGAAATAAAGATTACTTGGATTAAATGAGAAATACTAGTTTAACACAAGCTTCACAAAATTATAACAAAATTGTTTCACCCTTAAATTAGAAATAAAAGCTTAATCACTCATGGTAGAATGAAAATACAAGAGAAAAAGAAGTTGCGATGTAGAAGATATCTCTAAAAAAATTCTAACAAGCACACAAAGAAGATGCCAAGGATGACTTGAAGGAAGACATTTTCGCTTTTCTCAAAATTTTCGCCATTTTTTTGCTGGAGAACTACTCTTTGCTTTGCTTTACCTCGTTCCACAAAGCAATCGTATCAAGCGACATAATTAAAGAACCATGAAGCAGTAAATATTAAAAACGCAAGTAATCACAAACGTTGAGTCCAACATGTTGCGGAATATGGCTATCGGATATAGCAAAATCGCAACTGATAATTTGAGAAAATAAAAATAAAGATAAAGAAGACACAAATTTACATGGAAAACCCTAAATAATATAGGGTAAAAACCACGGGCAACGGTAGAAAAATTTCACTATGAGAAAATAGGAATTACAACTTCTCTCGATCTAACAAGGAGAAAACAATGACAATTCTCTCTTGATAAAAAAGAGAAAACAACTCTCAAGAAAACTCTCTAAATTCTCTAGTATTGGGAGAAAGCTAGAATGATTTGGGATGGTTTTGAAGCTAAATGGGTTAGAGTATTTATAGTTGAAGTTTAAGGACTAATCTTATAAATACCCTAAAGTATAGGGACTAAATTTG